ACTTTTTTTTGTTTCCACGGATGAAGAGAAGTCTGAAAGGAAAGCGATTCCGTGATGTGGATGAAGTCAAAGAAAACACGCTAAAGGCTTTGAACAGTATCCAGCCTCAAGAATTCCAGCACTGTTTTGAGCAGTGGCAAAAGCGTTGGGACAAGTGCATTAATGCACATGGACAATACTTTGAAGGGGACTAATATACAGTTCAATAAAAATGCAAAAATAAAAAATAACAAAAATAAATTCCAGTTATTTTTTGGTCCCCCCTCGTAAGTTTTAAAAAAATAAGTTCGGTTTCTTTTGGGTACCCCCTCGTNAAGGGGGACCCAAAAATAACCGGAAGCGACCTGTTGCGCGCGCTTGCTTTGTACTTATGAGTTGTGCTGCTAGGTGGTGTTAGCTGGGGGTCTCCTNTGCTATCTTATCTTTTTCCTAACTAACTGTACTTTATTTTGTCCAGACCTTTAACTCAGAGTTGAGTGGCTGCTTTCACTCCATTCTATTTGGCCAAATTCTGAACTACATAATTCATATCATGTGAAGAAAATTTACGAAGGCAAAGTCCAATTTGGAGCAAATGTTCAGGAAATATTTCCAGTTCAGATCTCATAAATTTGAATATGAAATAATTTGCCAACCCTGGCTGCTAATAGAAGTACGAAGCAAAGAAATACGTGGGTCATTTCATAAATAATGCACAGGTTGGCAACACTGCGGATTAGATGATGCAACAACAGTGAGCGTCACGTCAGTTACAGTTCAGGGCTTGAGAAAGAAGCGCGTTATTTTGTTTAATTTATAATATACTCTGTTCTTAAATAACGTGAGTTAGAAATAGAGCCTGCACGGTTCTCGGGTATTGTGACTGTTGAAGATCAAAGGTCATACATTAAGATCGTAACTTTACGTGGAAGAAACCCAACAGAAATCCACAGTGCTTTGAACCGGAGCTGAAATCAGTCCAATGAGTGGACTTCCCCACGACCAAAATAATTTCGACGATCTCAATCAAAGGTCAAACAAATGATGATCTTTGCTTATTATCACCAAGAAATCATCATGACAGACAGAGTTCTGTGTGGGAAAAGTTTCACAGCAGTTTATTATCGTGACCTTATGCAAAATTTGCGCAGAAAAATGCACAAAAACTGACCTCAGTTGCTCGAGGCTGGGCCGATCATTCTCCATGACAACGCTTGTCCACACATAGGGAATGTTGTAACAGAAAAGCTGCGCCAATATGATTGGGAGGTGTTGCCTCATGCTCCCTACAGCCCAGGCATGAGTCCACCAGGCTCAACTTATTCCCAAAGTTGAAACAACCTATGTGAGGCTGTCGTTTTCCCTCTGGAAGAGCTTTCTGCTGCAGTACCCGAGCCATTTGACAGATAAACAAGGATGGTGTCCTGGATGGAATAGTAAAGCTTTCCACATGTTGGGACTCAGTCATTGAGAAGCAGGGGGACTATATTGAAGGACTGTAAAGAGATATTAAAAGAAAATAAACATGGACATAAACAAAAAATTGTGTGCATTATTTCTGAAATGACCTACATATGTTACTTTGGGTTTTGTTATTAAATTAAAGATTATTAGGAGAGCAAGGCAAGGGTAGAGCATATCCAGCTGTAAATGTCAATAAAACGAAATACTGTCATTTGATGGAGTGACTACTGAGTCTGAGGTTTTCATGGTTTTCCTCAATCCAACCAGGCAAAAGCTGGAACAGCACCTTGAAATAGACCGTCACTCATTAATCATCCAGTTATTTGATCCTGTATGATCTTGGGTTCCTGGATTCCTGGTACTCATTTCTGTTAGAGGCTGAGTTGATGCAAGGGCCTTAGTAGAGCTGGAAGGATTAGGTCAATAGAAAATTCCAGTGACCTCACTTGGAATTGAATCCATGACCTTCTGGCTTGTAGCGCCATCTGTGAGCTGACTGATTAGAAGATGTGGAAGCCTCGACATCTCACAACCTTATGGGTCTGCACAGCCTGTTACAGGGATAGTGTTACCTTTTTTTGTTTTTCAATAATCCTGGGTTACTAACAACGTAATTAAATTCACTGCAAGTAAACAAATAACTCTGTTCTGATATTGTAATAATAATTGAAATGTATTTCTTCAATACAATAATAATACAAATGCCATCATGAATGCAGCAATTTATTTGATCGTAGCTCTTTGTCTTTTCTTCCTTTACACTACATGTTTTGGCCGTAACTGGCCATCAAGAGGTGTATTTTTCACTACATAGCTGTCACACTGCACACAATTCAAAATCTAAAACACCAGACTATCAGTTTTGTTTAAAATCTCGCCAGCGTACGCTCATCAATTTGATTTTAGAATTCCAGTTTAAAATGTAAAGTTTTTAAATCACAGGGATACCTGCTCTGTGTCTACATGTGCTGCAGCGGCTATTTCTGGTGTTCAGTACTGTTCATGTATTCTGTGCAGGCTCCCTGTGTGTGTGTTGCTGCTCATCTTTAATACTTTTGCCCTTTTTTTCAATCATGATCATTATATGTGTGCGTCTCACTGATTCAACTTATTATTGAACTCCAGGAAAGTGAAATGCTGATGCATTTTTCAAATACACTGATTGTAGCTCTTGAAACATCATACACTACTTCATCTGAGCCACTGGTTACAATGTGCACTTAGTAAAATTGAATAGTGTTGAAGAATATTTGGATAATTATTCTCCTGTCTCCATACTATTCACTCATTTGGTACTGCTTTCAGTTGTGACCATTTTCTTTGCCACAAAACTGACAAAAGCTGAACTGCCTGACTGGATGGACTGGATTCTGGTTGGCTATGTGGCATTCCATGTTGCTGTCCATCTGATCTTATCCGTGAGTCCAGTTTGTATAAAACAGTTTATGATGATGTGTTTGTTTCAGTGCATTTAGACTGAGTTCTGAGTTCATTGCAAAACCATGCAGATAATCATGTCTTTTTGAATTGTATCTTTGATCTGCACAGAATTCTTCAGAACTGTGATACACTTCAGTTTTATCTTTTCTACTTGAGGTGTGGTCTGTGTTTAAAAATAATCCAAGTTAATTGGTATTTGAATGAAATATTTAATTGATCATGATTGCAGATTTCAAGTATTGTCAGTGAGAGAAACAATGGCAAGAGAGTGAACTCCTTCCCCATGAAGGAGATGACCTCCAGTCGCAGCCCCCTGCATTCTCCGGAAAGAAAACAGGACTCTCCTGTGAGTCTATATATTTTTCTCTAAGGCCTTAAAATAACTTCAGAATGATGAGGATTTAAATGTGAACCGATCCATGTTTACTACAAGGAATTATTTGTAATTTTCTTGTCCCCCTCCTCCACCACCGTCTCTCACCCCTTCGAGGTTCTTTTCATTCCTCCCTTGTCTACCTCTTTATGGGTTAATTTCAAGCTGTCATGCCCATCCCTTGAATGATTCTTTGGATTGCTTGGATTCAGTAGGAAATTTTGACAGTCTGTTACTTGTCACATTCACATGTGAAGCTTGTTCTGTAGACGAACTTAAAAATAATTATTTTGTGGAACGCCATTATTTTTGTGTTCATAATTGTTATTTACGTTAGAACTGCCCAGAATCTCATGAATAGTTTGAAAAAGTAAAAACATAAAATCGACAAATAAGACCACAAATTGTAAATGAAGTGCATGTGACTTCACTAAGGGAGAGACACTCAGACAAAATTGAGCATTCCTGATAACTGCCATGAAGAGGTAAAACTCCATTTATAAAATATAGATTTACTGATCCCATTTACTGACTGATTTGTGGTTTGAGTTTTGTAACTATGGTCTTTATGTTGCAGCATTCTTGCTTTCGGAAATTCATGTTGGGTGTTTACATATTGGTGATTCTGTTACTGGTGGCTGCCCTTATCATCATCACAGTCTTTGCTCCCATTGAGGACAGCTGGGTGAAATTTCAGAACATGATTGCACCAAATAACACACAGGGACAGTAAATATATTCTACAGATTTACAACAGAAATGAAATTCAGCTTTTAGTGTCTTTGTGTTACATCAATTCTGTGTTTGCTCTGATACAAAGAAGGTTCATTTTACCAAAAGAATACTCTGCGTTACAGGTATGTTTATTTTTTTAGTTCTATGTTGCAGTGTTGTCAGTGTACTGTAATAGTTGTTTGTGTTGGCTCCATTAATGAATATAGAGTGGTGAGTGTTATGCATATTGAAGTTAACTAGATGGTTTGTGTGCAAGAGGAAAAGCAGCAGGTTTCACATCATTTGTAACATGAAAAAAGTGTTTTCTGGCCTGAATACAACAATACTAAACCATAAGGTGCTGTTTTGATGGTGCAATACAATTTATTACTTGTTTTTTAAAGAACTAAACATTCATAATTCAAACGAATAAGTCTTCTGTTTTCAAAGAAGAACTGAAAATTTAGTTCAGTATTACATTATAAAGACTACAGTGAACAATGGAATTAAGGAAATGTATAAACAAGCAGTATAATTGGTGTCATTTTTGTATAATTTCTATATCATATATAACAACTTTTACAAGAACAATATTTGTGAAAATGATTTAACTTGATATAAATGTGTCAATGTTGTAGTGCAGTTTGCAGGGTCTCCAAAAATAAATTATACAGTTTTAAATGCATAGGTATTTTCATAAATCCTTACAGCGCATTAGAGTAAATGCAAGAGGACAGAAATGTGTCCAGATCTGTTACATGAAAAAGTTTTGAATATGAAATATTCAGCCTCTATATAACCCTGTGCAATCCAAGGGTGAAACACTGAATTGTAGTATCCCATGTTTAATTCATATGTGCATTAAATGTGGGCAAATATGGTAATTCATGAAGAAAGCAGTCTTCTGGGATGTGGCACTGTGTAGACGTGGCGTTAACCGACGTTTCAGAGGAATGTATCGCCTCCATCTTCAGGGTAGAAGGAAAAATAAGAAATCCGCAAGCGAAAAGACCATGAGAACTGGTACAAGCAGACTGATACGTTCCTCAGAAACGTCGGTTAACACCACATTTACACAGTGCCACATCCCAGAAGACTGCTTTCTTCATAGTCACTGCCGTGAAAACCTCAAATCTTACATGGTAATTCATGTTAGGACACATAACTGTGAAAGAAGTGATTATCTCTTATTAGGCTTCCCCCTCACCTCATCTAACTGAATCTCTCACCTTTGTGTGGTACTCCTCAAAATACCCGAGGATGCACAGTTCCATATACATTTCCTTCACTTCAGCTGCCTTTCAGTTTCATTGCCAGTGTATGATGAACTGAAGCTACGATATTAAAATTCACTGTGAACTCCCGAAAACTGAATGCACCTTGTATCTCAGCTGTAATGTAAGCATTTGGTTGCAACCATAGAAAGGGCAATATTTTCTTGCGGCTGCAGTGGAAGGGCTTGTGACTGATGTACGGAACAAAGAATTTTCTCTCCAGTCTTTTGAATTCCCATACTTTCACTTTTCTATCCCTTTGCTGAACAGAGTTGAATAACTGAAGTTTATGTTGCGTTAGAGATGGAAAGAAGTGGTCAACTGTAGAATATAGGAAAAATGTGAATATTACAAACAGAATAACAGAACAAGGTTTATATAGCTCCCAGCTGTTTTATGACACCAGAGACTGCGGAAGTATGTTGAGTGTTAGAAGAAGGAATGATTTTATAATGCAGAACCACTTTGTGAAGAAGTTGATAACTCTTTTGTACAGTATGTATCAAAATTACACACATACAAAACAAAAATGAAGAAGAAAGAGTGTAATTTCTTTGCATAAACATTTTCAAACCTTATGTTATAATATGTGACATTAATTCCATTCCTTTATCATAAATTTTGTATTAGATACATTTTTAATAAAGTGCTTAAAATTATTATAAATTCAAAGCAGGAAAGGACATTTAAACACCCAACAGCAACGGGCACTTAAACAGACTCTGTTCAGCTCACACTACCACCATTAGAAAGTCTGGCATTTAAAGGTTAAAAGAACACAAATGTCAACTATCAATCCATACAATAGTTTCTGTTAGTACTGTAGGAATGCTTGTGGCCAGTGTGGGATGCAGTTGCATCACATTATGTAACACTAAATAGACATAATGCTTGTTAAGGAGGATGGATTTATGTTAGGAACCTGACACCTTAACCTCTTTAGGTATTCGAGCAGAGGCCATTCCCAGCACTAGTTAAATGAAACTAATGATACTCCTCCCTAAACGTCTCACAACCCTATGGGCCTTCACAGCCTGTTAAAGGGATAGCTTTACTTTTTTCTTACTTTACTCCTGCGTGCAAATGAGCATGCTGTTAAATCTTTGTAGAATTTAAATGTCACTTATGGGAAATGTTTTACATAGCAATTACAGGCTAAATATTGCCTAACTGGTCAGGCAATTAATGACAAAATCAGAATGAAACTTAGAGATACCAACGTCTCTATTATAACACATAATAAAAGGTCACAATCTTGCAGTTTCTGTAATGAAAAAGCCAAGCCCTTGTAAGGAATAAAAATTATAGGAACAAAATAACGAAAGAAAATCAGTAGAATAAATTAATTGAATTTGAACTTGAAGAGACATCATGAGGAAGTGTGGGCTGGATTCAGGTGGCTTTTCTGAACATAATATTGGGTCTTCAGATTGTGTACAAAGAACTGCTTGACCAGATAAGTAACTATCAACATTTCAAGGAAGACCCTGCAGTATGGATATACTTGTTAAATTAGTATAATTACTGAAGTACCAAAGGATGATCAAAATATAGAGATTAAGTTAATATAATTTCAGATAATGTATAATGCAATAACATGACCTTGAACATAAAACAAAGCTATTGAAATAAAATTGTATAGGATAATGGTAAGACTTGTCCCAACAGATTGAATAACAACAGAAATTCATATAAGGACTAGCCCCCAAAAAGAGGAGGAGCAAAGCAAATATGTGATGATGAACCTCATAAGAATCTTCAGTTTGTTGATCTTGTTGATCTGAATATCCCTGGCAAGTTTTCACAAAAGAAGCCCTATTCAGTGTACACCTAATATAGCGTATATTGCATCTTAAACCAGAAGATCATTATATGAATAAGAATGTATTTTCTTATCATTCATGGTCATTCTAGATTCATTCTTATATATAGCATGCTGTTGAAAGTACGTCAGCCCACAGATTCACAACTCATAAGAATGTAATAAGTTTAATTCTTTTCAAGTTTTCTGAACGTTTCCAAAGATTTAAACATTAAGTACACAGCTGACTCCACCTCAACAACATGCTAGATCAAAACACTGGAGGATATATCCCATCAAATGAAAATCTGTATGCAGAGGTTGAGAGTACTCAGTATTATATCAGAAAGAAGCCCCAAGAATTGGGTAAGAACACACACTGAGGATGTTAGAGAACAGGATGGTGAGGAGTTTTTGTAGGAACACCTGGGGGAAAGACCTCTAGAAAAACCTAAGTGTAGATGAGAGGATAATATTAAAATGGATATTAAAGAAATAGGATGTGAGGGTGTTAAGCAGATTCACCTGGTTCAGAATAGGAATCAGTGACAGGCTTTTGTAAATACAGTAATAAACTTTTGGATTCCAAAAAATGTTTATGAATACAGTTTAAGCATATCTTCCCAATACTGTGCCCAGATGTGTTAATTATGTTACTGTACAACAAAGAGTACTGTCTTTCAGGAAATTGTGCCATGCAGTCTGCTAATAAATTTCTATCAGACTATGTGGTATCACAACCCATAGTAGAGCTGTGAAAACCTCGATTTGCATGAAGTGAGAATGGTTTGTGTTTGGGCTAATAACTTAAATGATGGCGCTGTCTTCTGAGCTGTAATGCCGTGCAGTTCAGAGGAAGGCCTTTCTCTGAACTACCTGGCGTTACAACCTAAAGATTGTACCCTTTGTGGCCACTGCTGCAAGAATTTCTGAAGCAGAAAAATCAGTAAGGGGTTGAAGGATAATAAGGTAAAGTTGCCTCTGTGCTTAATTATGTTCCAAGCCATGATGACATATAGAAAGCGGGGGTATAGGCTCCACCATTCTTAACCTAGACAGATGGAGATGTGTGGTAAGCTTCACACCCGGTACCCAATGGGTATGACGCTGGGTGGGCCCCAGAGCCGATTTAAACGCTGCGGAGAAGACAGAAGTTTCTTGCCCTGCCGGGGATCGAACCCCAGCCTGTCCGCTCGGTCTGTCACTATACCGTCTGAGCTGTCCCATACGTTGCGTGTTCAAGCTAGGTTTACTATCAGTAACCAAACCTCACTGACAGTATTCACCTCTTTTTTTTTTTAATTCTCTTAGTGGGTGGTGGAGTCCAACTGGGTCCATTCGGTACGGCGGCCACTGATTGGCCTATTGTACCTGCCCCGGGTGATAATGATTATGAAGAATTTGGTGGAATGAAGATTGGCAGGGGAAACCGAAGTACTCGGAGAAAACCAGTCCCAGCGCCACTCTGTCCACCACAAATCCCACTTGACCAGACCCGGGATCGAACCCGGGCCGCCGCGGTGGGAAGCCAGCGACTAACCGCATGAGCTATGGCGAGGCGTTATGTATTGACTTTACTGTATGGTTGCGCCTATAATATTCGTTTGTAAAGGAAGCGACAGTCTAGCAAACATAAACCTCCAGTTTAAATTAAAAAAAAAGTGACCGCCAGAAATAATTACTACGTACAACTATAGTAGTAACCGTTGTCCGTGTTCAGAGTAATTCTTTGTTCAATGACGGTCTACCAATCAACGCAAAATGGTAAACACGCGGATTTCTGAAAACTCCAACGAGCAGCCGTAGTACTCTCGATCGATCGCGCTTGCTACGTACAACGCGAGCCTCGTGCCACCTCACCCCCGCGTCCTGATGTCTTGCCGCTTCGACCGGTCCGTCCGTACTAGCCACTGTGAGACCTCTACCGGTGGCAGCGCGAGTGATTCAGACAGTGGAAGATCAGGTTGTAGACATGATGTCTGCACTGTAAAGAGAACCGGTGTGACATTTCGGAGTGCGGGTTTGTGCCATTACGGAACAGAATACATACATGAAATACAACTGACGTAAAGTATGATTTAGAACGATGCACGCGTATTTACTTTTCTCTTTATTACGAGCAGTATACGTTGTATTATGAAAGTGTGTCCGTGTGATTTACATGATTTATAGTTCTTTTCAAGAATTGATCGCTTGCGCATCCATTAAACTATTTATTTTCGTCAGTTCCATAGAGAAACTGTTCTTTGTCTATGTGTTCAGGGATATGTGTAAAAGACAAAGGTCTGCGGAAAAGAAGGAATAACAGGCATAGTAGTAACAATAATATCGACCGACGAGCAGGTCAAGAGTGTGCGTGTATATTAGGGCCCCATAAAGACGAGTTAATACGATAAGAAGTGCTTCATTGCTGGAGGTCACAATGTTCAACCCCCTGTCAACATTTCTAGTAACTGCACTTGTGCCAGTTATTTGCATCTTCTCTTTCACAAATGAGCAAGAAATGCAGAATAACATCTTCGAAGCAGCATTTCAAGGTAAATTAAAATTATATAACTTGACGTACATAATATTCTAATTACACAATTTCTTTCGCTTTAGCTGTGACTGGTTTCCTTCATGGTCGAAGGTCCCGGAGGTTGTGCTGTATTTGCTTTCGAAAATTTTGTCATGTACAGAATGTTTGTAGCTAAGGGTGGACGATAGGAAGACTAGATTTTCTTAGTTCTTTTTAGAGGAATGTATTTATGGTTCAGTGATCATGTATGTCCGTAACTGAGTTTGAACAGTATCTTCAGTTATTATACCGTAGATGAGCAAAAATAACTGAACCCTTTTAGTCTGTCTTTTATTTCCTCATACATCTCCATTAGACGATTTATTGTTTATTCAGCGACACAGCGTGGAAATGAGGCGTAGCCAATTTTAAGTCACTGTCCCAGCATTTCCCTGCGGATAGTGAGGAAACCCGTTATACACCTCAGCATAATCGGCCTGCGGGCCAGGTTTCAAATTCTGGGCTTCCTGAATACGAAGCAGAACAGGAGAGAGTTTATTTGCAATAGACCATACAAATAATTCTAACTTACCTAACTGAACAGGGCACCGAATTATGAACATATCGGCCTACGCATTTGCTTTTTGGAAGGAAAGGATAATGTGAAACATAAGCCAAACAGCGTAAAATAAAGCTTACAAAGAGAACTCCAAAATAGTTGCAAGTTAGTAGGATCTGAGGATCACAGAGCGGTGGTTATGAAAAATACTATCTTCTGGGACATAACGCAATCTGACTGATGTGTCGTAGGAACATAACGTCTTCATCCTCACAGTCGAAGAATAAGCCGAACAAGAAACCAGCGTGAAAGCAGGTGACAAACAGATCTGCTACCTGAAGATGGATGCGATATGTTTCTCCGAAACGTCGGATGACTTTCAGCCGACTACACAGCGTTATATCCCAGAAGAAACTACTCTTCATTTGCGAATTTGTTAGTTATTCGTATGTCAAACCCCCCCCCCCATGTCGACATCAGCAATTGTAGCCCTAATTCAAATTACTTTCCAAATATGAGTAGAGTGAACATTATTAATGAAACTTAAAGACCACGAATAACAGTCTTTAATACACAAATAAACGTCACACGATTTTAGAAATTCATTTTATCTTATCTGGTGGTCGGCGGACTGCTGCCGGTCCTTGGCGTAATTTTACTCCAGCGTACACAACAGTCCTGTAGTTTGTGGCAATTTGCCACAGCAGAAACAAAAAAACAACTTTTTGCAACTAGCCTTGATGTCCTCTTTAACAACGAAATGGTATGAGCTACTAGTGTTTCCCTCTCTCCGTTTTCCGGCCCGGGAACTGCGTAACGGGGCCACAGTCACTCCCTGTATGCTGCCGCGTGTAGGTGCATGTCTGCACTCTGCAGAATTGTCTGGACACATCTAACAAGTGCAGAACTGTCATGTTTTAACGGAAGCAATATTTCGACAGCTCGCCACAAAAATGGGCGATAAATGTTTCGAGCACAGAGTCAACATGAAATTCTTGTTCAGACTTGGGGGGAGGGAGCAGCCGAAATTTTTGAAATGTTAAAGCAAGTGTGCCGAGAAGATGTCGTGTCAAGAGCACGTGTAAACGGTTTACCGGAGGCTTCGACAGCCGACCTGGACGTCCGATAGTATCCAAATCGGACGAAGGTGAAAACTGTGATGTGAATTAAGGAGACTGTACGATTGGTTTTGACCGAGAATTTTGGGATGAAGAAAGTTCAGTGCCAAAGAGCATCACTAATGACCAACTGCAGCGGAGGAGAGGAATCTGCAGTGCCGTTTTCCAATGAATTGAAGAAAATGACGAATGGCTTAACAGAATTACCACTTTGGATGAAAGTTGGAGTTTCGAGCTTGATCCAGCGCCAGAACATGTAGTAGAAATCTGGAGGTTCACCCGCTCCAAGAAAGCGCGGATGTCAAAACCAAAGACACGCAATGTTGATTTTTTCCCTTGACAACAGAGGGACAGTACACCGAAAATTACTCTCGCTTCACCAGATTGTCAGCCAGAAGCGATTTCTAAAAAATTTGGGACGCACACAAGCACACAGCGCCTCACGTGAAGGAGGTTTTACTGAGGAAGAAAGCCAGTCTGATCCTGAAATACGTCGCTACTCACGAGACCTCGCTCCACGTGACATCTTCCTCCTCCCCGTTATGACACCGTGGGAGTGCTTCAGAACGATTAGATGACCTATCTAAACAACTTGCAGGAGATGGACTTCTGGGAGTCTCTGCTGGCGGAAACAACTCTGGAAATCATTTGTAGCTGCAGGATGGAACTTCTTTGAAAGACACCACTTCAGTTCCAGGTAAAATTGAATGCAGTACTGCTTGTGAGTGCAGTCTCCTTATTTAACATTCGGGCCTCGAAGGTATCTTGAATAAACACGTGGTGAGGAAGAAGGTGATGTATTTTGGACCCAATCTCTGCACCACGCCAAACCCTTCATAGATCACTTTCCTTCATGTATTGTTGTATCCTAAATAAATTGTAATTACGAACGCTCACTATTGGTGACGATATCTCTTCGATTCTAATACAACATATAACAATGTTAATAAACATGTATAGACATGCTACTCGCTGATCAGGGTGGCGGCACGGTCTAAGGGCGGTCGCGTACCAACTGCGTCAAAACAAGCATCAAGAAATGAGACAAAAGACGCAGTCTTGTAACCGTTCTTTGGTTCTGCTAGCTCTAGCAGAGAAATCGAACTCCTCTCAGGGCGTGTTGACTGGCCACGACTTGGGTGATTAGTGGGGATTTGGGCGTAGGGAAGTCACCTAAACACCAATTGACTATTTCAAGTCTTTATTCAATCTGCACTATTTAATTGGAAACAGCACCGTAGTGGCACACTTCACAGATTCGTGGATGTAGGCTTACTTACTGTTCACTGAGACGCACGACTTCCCTGTCAAGTTTAGAATTTCTAAAGGACTCGGCCTTGTTTTACGCATTAAATTGACTGATTTACGGATGGGCAGCTGCCTTCAAGCTTGACCCAAGCCACTTGCTGCTTGTCTCAGGGGGAAAATTTCAAATTGTGAGGCGAAAGTGAGGAATTTCACAAAACCCTAACCTTACAAAAACATCAATTGACCATCCCATAAACTGGACAGTTACAGTCTTGCTTCATTCGTGATTCGTCAGCACGAAGCTGACGTCAGCATCATGACTCAGACCGGTGTATGGCGGTTTTCATAATCTCATTCTTTTCAACTGTGCTCCTTTCTTTGCGTCATGTCGCAGACATCGTGTCTCGACTGTTACATGTCTTTGAGCTGTGCTGAAGCAACGGCTCCTTTCCGTTACGTCATGGCTTCCAGCCATACCTTCCACGCTACCCCTTATCGTTGTCCTAGAGCTTACCCCCTCCTCCTCCCTTATACCACGTGGGTTTTCCCTTCTCTTCCTACCCTGTGTGTCTCGGAGGGAAGTATGTTTTGGGAGCCGTGGAGGAGTCTGATAGTGGATCCAATCGGGCTATGACGTTGGCGGACCAGCGGGAGGAATTTCTAAATTTCAGTTCGGCGGGGGTTTTCTAAATCTACGAGTAGTTTCGGTGTAGTCGGGAGCTGGCCGCAGAAGTCAGGGAAAGGTATGGCGGCGATACGCGGGGTTGTTTAGTTAGTATATATATATTTTCTTTGGGGCCGCCTGTGGCTGACCAAGGAGCAGTAGTGAAGTCGTGTTGTGCTGTAACGACTTCCGTACATAATGTAGGTGGGCCAGTGGAACTGGGCATGTCGGCTGAGTTTGATGCCGAGAAGTGCGGATAAGTATAGGACTGAAATCAGCCGTGTATGTTGGGTTGTCAGCGACATTGTATGCCCGCAGTGCTCTATTTTTTCTTTGTATATTCTTATAGTGCGTTATATTGTGTTTTGTTACCATTAAATCTTGTTACTGTCATTTGGTAGATCATTATAAGTTCTGATAGGCCCTCCTCTGCGAGCTTGGATTCCCTGCAACGACATCATCATCATTATCAGTAATCTGTCAGACGACGGGTCCACAGTCTCTTCCAAAACAATTCCTCCACTTAATGCGATCTAGAGCTTTCTCCTTCAAATGACAGTATCCTCTTCTGTCCCCAAGGTCATCCCGCATCTTCTTACGTCTTCTTCCTCGTCTTCTTGTCACTTCTATCCGCAGCGACCTTAGGGAGTATTGTGAACACGACGCGAGAGCCTGTGACGATGAACCGCTCCCGACTTCACGATGGATGTGGGTGGTAGGGTGAAGACGGGAGAAGCAGCGGTTCATCTTGACGCATGCCGGTGTGCGGCCTACCTAAGGCCGAAGGTCAATTGAATAAATCCAATGACCTCATCAGGAATTGAACCCGGCACCTTCCGGCTTGTAGCATAGTGCCTCAACCAACTACGCTACCATGTGCCCCATAAGTAGTTTTAAAATACGTACATGAGTAGAGAAATATACGTTTTAAAAGGTCAGTTGGTTTCTTTGTATAGTCAACTGAATTTTTACTGTAACCAACTTGAACCCTTTGGAAGCAGATAATCAATCGTTCAACTGATAAAAAAGTGCTACATTTTCATGGAACCAAGAAGTTCATTGCATGGTTTCAAGAGTCCGCCATTTGGCCCGTCCTGAGTCGTTTGAATCAGTCCATACTGTAAAATCTACTGACTCATTTTAATATTATCTCTTTCCAATGCCAGAGTCTCCCAAACAGTATTTTTCTTTGACATATTTGACTAAATATTTTATGCATTTCTCAATTATACCATGCATTCTACATATCCCTCTCATCTTACTCGCATTTGGTACTGTCAACATAGTGATGTTTAGCGAAGAGACAATATATGACTCTCCCTATTTTGTAAGATTTAAGATGCCGGGATAGCGCAGTCGGTATAGCGACTGGCTACGGGCTGCACGTGAGGAGCCGGGATAGCGCAGTAGGTATAGCGACTGGCTACTGGCGGGACGTGAGGAGC